ATCTACCATCTGCATGACCAAGGAAGCCCATTATCTAGAGAGAGTTCAAGAATCTCCTGTGAGTGCTGGAGGGGTAGATGTGATCTAACCCAGAACACACATCGAGGACCCCAAGCCCTGCATAGCTGAGCACCTGGGTTGAGAAGACAACTCTGGATAGAGAGGGATGTGGAGAGCGTGAGCGGATGACAGAAAACCAGGGGTTCTTAACCCTGTAAGAGCAGCCGCTCTGAAGAGGCACAGAATGAAGGCCACATGGACTACATGGCAGTTTTCGGGGTATGGGGGTTCCCTTCACTGCTTGTGGCCGACATGAAAGCCCCAAGGCACAGGACACCCGCCAGGAGCCATGGCTGCGGTGAAACATGCTCCCTGCTGATGATCAGTGCCAGGGAAAAGAGAAGCACCTCTAACACAACTGATGGCCATCTCATCACTGAACTGGACTCAGAGTGTAGGGCAGGGGTCAGGGAGGTGGAGATGGGGCTGCGGGCTGAGCCCCTCATCTGTGCCACACATCGGGCGAGCTACCTGCCAGCAGGTGCTTTACTGGTGCTCACAGGAGAGGAAGGCCCAGGATAGCCCTCGGAGTTGCTGAAAGGGACACCTCATGGGTGGCACCCAAGACCACATAGCAGGTGCCCACTGATTTTAGGGATTATTGTTATTGGCATTCCTTAACCTCTTCTGAAAATAGTAGTCTATACTAACTTGACAGTTAAGTTTGAACCCATTCTTTTCTCCTCTTTGCCCCATGTTTTAGGTATATGTTACTATATTTTATATCTTTTTTTCTTCCTATGCCAGATCTCTCAAGTCTCTTGCCATGAATACAAGTTCACTAGGGAAGACTTTCCTTCACTCCCAAACTCTAGGGCGTTCCCTTTATGGAAAATCCGAGGCCCCTGCTAATTCTCCCAGTTGGGGTGAAATGGCATGTGTGTCTCGTGTGTGGCCCACCCGACTAATCTCATGAGGGTGGGAACAGCGTCCGTGTTGCTCAGGACGACCCGAGAGAGCCCTGCTCGTGCCCGGCACACGGGAGGTGTTCGGTGGAGAAGCGCTGAGCCCGCGAAGGGACAGTGGGATGCAGGAAGACACCTGCCATGTACCTGCATGCAGTTGAGAAGTGACACTCAGCGATGCGCAGGGGGCGGACCCAAGGTCACGTGGAGGAGATGGCAGAAACAAGGCCAGCCAGCCCAGAGCCACCTTCAGCCCTCATGCCCCAGCCCTGCCCCCACCAAGGAAACCACACAGCCTCATTTGCCTAGGTCAACAACAGCAGCAAGAAGACTCCAGAGAACATGAAAATGAAAAGCACACCCCTCCCTCCTGACCCCACCCTCCTGCATGCGGGCAACTCCCACAGTTAGCGCACATGGATTTCTTGCCTCTGACATCCTGGGTGGGGGTGGGGAGCAGTTCATGTGACAGTTTAACAGCCTCACAGAGCATCAGGTGGCTCAGGTGAGCCAGCCAACAGGCTGCTGGCCAGACCCTGCAGGCCAGAGTGGTCAGTGCCCCGGCAGGAGGACACACAAGTTGTCCAGGAAGGCGGTGAGGGTGGGAGGAGTGATGGGAGTCACAGAGTCTGGAGCAGATTGGAAAAGACTTCAAAGATGATGAAGTTTGAATGGGAGGCTGGAGTCATGGTCCACAGGGCAGTAGAGGAAGGGAAGGGCAATGGCAGAGAAGGAATGGCAGGTGCAAAGGTAGCTCAGGCTAGCCTGAGCTTCAGGAGATAAAGCAGCAGGGTGGCCCAGAGCGGCTGGCGGGAGACCTGGCTCGCTGTTTACAGTTGAAAATCTTGCTCCGACTGGTTGCTGCATGTGACCATGGCAACAGGAGAAATGCTGAGCAGGGAGCTGGCATGAGGCTGGAGGCTGGGGTCTCCCACTGAGGCCATACTCTAGAGCCCAATGCCTAGTACCCCAGATGGTAGACCCACCAGACCCAAGACGGACCCAGCTCCTGCTCTGTGCCACCAGTTGCCCACTGGGTCCTATTCCTCAGCCTTACGGTGCACCTTGCTACAGCTTATCTCCCTTATCCAGAAGGCACCTTGCTGAAACCCCCAGTTATCCAGAACCCACCTCCACGAGACTGAAGCAAACAGAAAAGACCCCGTAGTGGGCCACGATTCATGCCCCAAAAGTCATGCCCTACAGGGCACGCACCTCATGCCCCCAAGCACATGCAGATGTCACTTGGGCTTGGCCATCTCTGGTCAGGAACAAACGGACCAGAGTTAGCCTAGCTTTGGCACTTTCTAGCAGTGAGGCCTCAGTCCTTAGTTTCCTGACAGGTAAAATTCAGAGAACAGTTGTAGCTACCCCAGGGTGTGACCATGAAAACAAATGGACATGACGTGCTAAGCCCACAGGGCCCAACACCAGGATGTTACAGCTGACCCTTCAAAAGATCCTGAATAAAGAAAGATAAATGAAAAGGGGCAGAAACTTTGTCCTGAGCAGACCCAAGGTACCGAAGAAAACAGCAGGTAGAGCCATGTGATGGTTTCCAAGAAATCATTAAATAACATACTATGCAGCATCTTTATATAGAGGCAAGCAGCACATCTGACAAAGATGTTCCTTTGCAGCCGGGTACGGCGAAAAGTTGTGGCATCTAGGAGGGAGAGCTACTGGAAAAATCAATGTGTGCAAATTCACTTATGGGATGACATAATTCTGTGCATCCCCCCCCATCTGTAAAACATACATCGAATTTAGCAGCATCGAAGAGGCCTTCATTGTACGGCATAGCATTATTTTGTGTGCTACCAAGAAAGAAATATTGCTATTTTTTGGTAAGATGCCATAGGCGGTGAGAAGCATCTTGATTTCTGAGCTGTTAAAATGTGAAAACATGTGCGTCTTCAAATTGATGGAATATCCTAATATGCCATATACATTTGCTCTGGGAATGTCTCATCTTCCCACACACAAGTCATATGTAACGCTCCTTTTGTCCCTTCCCACCCACATCAATGCCCGAGGCTCAAAAATCAACCTTACCGGGATCCCTGGGTGGCTCAGCGGTTTTGCGCCTGCCTTTGGCCCAGGGCGCAATCCTGGGGTCCCAGGATCGAGTCCCGCATCGGGCTCCTGGCGTGGAGCCTGCTTCTCCCTCTCCTCTGCCTGTGTCTCTGCCTCTCTCTCTCTCTCTGTCTATCATAAATAAATAAAAATAAGTTTAAAAAATTTTTTAAAAAAATCAACCTTACCACCTCACTCCTGTGTGACCACTCGTCACTATCTGGCCCCTCTAGAAGCTTCTTCTCTTAAGAAGGTGATCCAGGCCTTCAGCCCACTGACAGCTGAGCCAAAAAAGACTTCTGATCCACAGGTATCCCCCAGGGCTGGCCAGGTCAGCCCACTGGGGTGAGCCTCTTGGAATGCAGGCAGAGTCAGCAAGGCTGGAGTACTCAGGTGCACTGGAGGTGGAGCCTCGAGGCTGCCCAAGCCAAGAGGTGGCTATGGGCTCCTGGCTCTCCTCCTCTGCCACTTCTCAGCCAGGGGGCCCCTGATCAGCATGGGGAGCCTCATCATCGTTACCCTTCCAAGTGTGCTTTTCACCTAGTACCACCACTTAGCTTCCAGTGATTATTCTTGGAAGAAACAGAGCAGCATAGGAACCAAGAAAGGGAGGCCGAGGAGGCCTGCTTCCATCACAGCTTGGGGAGAGAAGGTAATCATCTCCCACTTATGCTGGAGGAGTGTACATGGGGGATGGTGCTTAAAACCCCAATGGGGTCTAGCATACAAAGACCCCCAAGCCCACCTGTCCCCAGAGTCCTGGCTGCTTATGCTTCAAAAAGCAAGGAAAGGTGTCCTGAAAAGAGATGGTCCCCAGGAAAAGAGAATTTGACCACTGGAAACCTTCTTTGTCTTCCTGGACCTACACCAGGGTGGGCACACAGAGGAAGCAGGGGAACCTCTGCCCCCCATACTCTCGCTCTGCAAACATCCAGGAAGCAGTTCCCATGTGCAGCTGGGAGGTCACTCCACTGGGGTTTCTCATGTAAGCTCCCCACAGCCCCGGTGAGGCCACTAATTAGAGCCCGTCTTCCAGACAGGGCAATGGGCTGGGGGAGGGCCAGAAGGGGCTGGAGGTCACACGGCAAGACCCCAGCGGCAACTCTGGTCTCCTTTCCACACCACACCGGGCTCCCAAGCCATGGCTCCAGCGCATCACTGAAGGAGCTTATTCAGATTTTAGAAAACTACAGATTGCAGACCACCCCCCTGAAAGCCGGGGCCGGGGCTGGGGCCTGGGGCCTGGGGCCTGGGTGCTCCGGCGAGCTCTGGGCACCAGCGCCTTACCAGGTGGTCCAGGCCAGGAGGAAGGGTGTGGATGAGAAGGTGCACGACCACGGGACGGAGGAAGGGAAGGGCAATCCAGAAGGGGCCTTCCGGGCAGCCCCGGCCTACTTTTAGCCCTCATTTCGCCCGAACCCACCCCTGCTCTCGGCGCAGAGGCTTGTTAACTCACTCGATACCACATCCTGCCGCTTTCATCTCGCGTTCCTTTCCCCCCTGAGCCATCGCCTTCCTCCCACTGACCTGAACCTCTCGCTTCTTTACCCCGGGGCCTGGGATGGGCCAGCGCGCAGGCGCCCGCGCCCGCACCTGCACACACACCTGCACGCGCGCACCGGCGGGGGCGCGCAGGGACACCCGGGGTAAACGCGGCTCCTGCGCCCGCGCGCCGACCCGCAGCGCCCCAGAAGGGCGGCGGGTCCTGGCCGGGTCCTGGCCGCGACGCCCGCGCTCGCCGCCGCCGTCCCCGGGCCGAGGGGCTGCGGGCTCCTGACCCCCACCTCGGGGCGGCCACGCGCACCGCCCCGGGGGTCCCTTCTGTCTCCGGGAGGATCGGGACGCGGGCGCGCGGACCTCCGTGCCCCCGGGGCCGGGCACAGCGGCGGCAGCACGGCTCCCCGACGGTCCCAGCTGCGCCCCGCCCCGCGCGCCCTCGCCGCCCTCCCGGCCACGCACCTGCAGTCCTCGCCGGGCGCCGAGCCCCCTCTCCAGCGGCGACTCCCCGCGGCTCGCGTGCGGTCGGGACCAGGCGCCGGGCAGCAGCGGCGCGGCGAGTCCCAGCATCGGCCGGGGCTGCGCTCCGACGGCGGGCGGGGGCGGGGCCACGCCGGGGCGGGGCGGGCCGGGCCGGGCCGGGCCGGGGCGGGCCGGGGCGGGCCGGGCGCCCCGGCGGGTCTCCAGCGCCCCCTGGCGGCCGGGGCGCGCGGACTAGGGAGGGCCCGGCGGCCCACGCGCCCTCCCGGCCCCGCCAGACCCCGCGCAGCACCGGAGCGGCGGCCCCCGCGTGGCGCGCGTGTGCCCTGGGAGGGACAGGCCCGCTGGGTACCCGGGGCGGCCACGGCCCGAGGGGCCCCGAGCACCCGCGACCCCCCGGGAGTCAGGTGCCGCGGGTCCCGGGGGGCGGAAGCGCGGCCGCGGCCCCGCCGAGAGGGTGGGCGGAGCGGGCGGGAGACTTGGGGTGGGGGCTTCGCGGAAGGAGGAGAAAGAGGAAGCTCCGACGAGCTGCTTCCTTCTCTCGCTGCGACCCAGCGCCCCACTTCCTCCTCCTACTTCTATTTTTTGGGCGCTCTTAACCTTTAAAATGCCTGCACCCCTGGCGCGCAGACGGCCGCCTGGACCCCCACCCTTCGGCAAGGAGGCAGGCTTTCAGCGCCGCACCCTCAGCCCCGGCCCGACTCCCCGCCGCTTCTTCCCCGGTGGCTGTCACCGCCGAGGCCCGAGGACAGGTGGTCTCCGGAGTCCGGGCCCTCTTCCTGCCCCTTTCCTTTCCCCCCACGGACCACGCTGCCAGGAAATCTCGGGAGCCCCTACGCTGGCCTGTGCCTCGTTCGCACACTTCACACGAGGGAAAGTTGTGCGGGCAGCCCTCGCAAGGAAAGAATAGCTCTTGACGGCAGAATTAGCAAAGGGCAGGACGCCTGGGTGGCTCAGCGGTTGAGCGTCTGCCTTTGGCTCAGGACGTGACCCCGGGGTCCTGGGATCGAGCCTCGCATCGGGCTCCCCGCAGGGAGCCTGCTTCTCCCTCTGCCTGTGTCTCTGCCTCCCTCGTGAATGAATAAATAAAATCTTTAAAAAATAAATCAGCAAAGGACAAGGCTGAAATTCCCACTTCCACTATTGAATGGGACTCTGTGTCACAATATCTGCGCAAGGCGCTTGAAACTGGCCACAAGGTCGTTCGTTACTGTTGGTCAAAAGCCACAGCCCTACCTGAGGCTTGGAGAGACGTGAATGCCAGTGACTGTTATTTTCTTGACTCCCAGAATACCAAGAAACAGCAACTTCCCCAAAGGTGCAGAAACAGAAAGTACCCTCCGTGGAGCCCGAAGGTCCAGTTCCAGTCAACAGTGAGCACAGGAGAAGCACCCAGCACCCCAGCACCCCGCCGGTCCTCCTATGTGTCATCCACCAACCTGACCCCAGACCCCGCAAGCCGGTTTCACAAGTAAGGAACCAGAGCCACGGAAGCCCGAGAGGGCACGCTGAGGTCACATGACTTGATAAGGCGGGCAAGGACTCTAGTCTCCCCAATCCCCACTCTTTTCCATCTGAAAAAAATAAAAGGAGAAGGGGGAAGACGGAGACAGCCCCAGGTGGCCAGGGTGGGGGCAATGGGGGCGGAACTGCCCTGGAATCAGGAACTGAGTTGCAAGGATGGCGCAGTGCATCCCGGATTGACGTAGTAGATTGAAATCACTTGCCAGGCTCAAGAAGACACTGGAGGTGGGATGCCTGGGGGTGCTCAGTGGTTGGGTGTCTGCCTTTGGCTCAGGCATGATCCCGGGGTCCTGGGATCGAGTCCCACATCGAGCCTTCTTCTCCTTCTGCGTGTATCTCTCATGAATAAATAAATAAAATCTGTAAAAATAAAATAAGTAAAATAAGATAATAAAATAAATAAAATAAAATGCTGGAGAAGTTATGGCATCCTTGACTTCCTCTGCGTCCTTGGTATTCCTAAAACTGAAGATGGAGGAAAGGCGAAGCAGAGTTGCCTGTTAGAGGTCGCTACCAGGGAGCTGAGCATCCCATGACGCCCTCTTAGTTCCATCCTGCATCTTCTGGGCTTGCACCCTATCCTTCCCCCTTGCTGGGCTCCCCCTCTGTCTCCCTGTCCTCAGAGGGCAGGCCACTGACCTGGAGATCTGAGCGACATCTGACACCTATTGGCCAGAACTTAGAACTACAGCCACTCGGGCTCCCTGGTTAGGTACCACTTTTTTTTTTTTAGTTTAATTTATTTATTTTTATGATAGACATAGAGAGAAAGACAGAGAGGCAGAGACACAGGAGGAGGGAGAAGCAGGCTCCATGCAGGGACCCCGACGCGGGACTCGATCCCGGGATTCCAGGACCGCGCCTGGGCCGAAGGCAGGCGCCAAACCGCTGAGCCACCCAGGGATCCCCCCACTTTTTTTTTTAATTGGAGTTCAATTTGCCAACATATAGCATAACACCCAGTGCTCATCCCACCAAGTGCCCCACTCAGTGCCCATCACTCAGTCACCCCAACCCCCCGCCCACCTCCCTTTCCACCACCCCTTGTTCGTTTCCCAGAGTTAGGAGCCTCTCATGTTTTGTCACCCTCACTGATATTTTCACTCATTTTCTCTCCTTTCCCTTTATTCCCTTTTATTAATTTTTATATTCCCCAAATGAATGAGACCATATAATGTTTGTCCTTCTCCGATTGACTTACTTCACTCAGCATAATACCCTCCAGTTCCATCCACGTTGAAGCAAATGGTGGGTATTTGTCGTTTCTAATGGCTGAGGAATATTCCATTGTATACATAGACCACATATTCTTTATCCATTCATCTTTCGATGGACACCGAGGCTCCTTCCACAGTTTGGCTATTGTGGACATTGCTGCTAGAAACATCGGGGTGCAGTTGTCCCGGCGTTTCATTGCATCTGTATCTTTGGGGTAAATCCCCAGCAGTGCAATTGCTGGGTCATAGGGCAGGTCTATTTTTAACTCTTTGAGGAAACTCCACACAGTTTTCCAGAGTGGCTGCACCAGTTCACATTCCCACCAACAGTGCAGGAGGGTTCCCCTTTCTCCACATCCTCTCCAACATTTGTTGTTTCCTGCCTTGTTAATTTTCCCCATTCTCACTGGTGTGAGGTGGGATCTCATTGTGGTTTTGATTTGTATTTCTTAGGTACTACCACTTTGTACAGCTCTTTGTTGCTGCTCCATTTAAAAACGTATGTCTAGGGGATCCCTGGGTGGCTCAGTGGTTTGGCGCCTGCCTTTGGCCCAGGGCACGATCCTGGGTCGCGGGAGCGAGTCCCGCATTGGGCTCCCGGCATGGAGCCTGCTTCTCCCTCCTCCTGTGTCTCTGCCTCTCTCTCTCTCTCTCTCTATGTCTATCATAAATAAATCAATCTTTAAAAAAAAAAAGCATGTCTGCCTGTAACCTCTCTCCTTCTTTTCACTGCCTTATGTTTTCTTTCTTTTTTCTAAAGATTTTATTTATTTATTAATGAGAGACACAGGGAGAGAGAGAGAGAGACATAGGCAGAGGGAGAAGCAGGCTCCCTGTGAGGAGCCCGACATGGGACTTGATCCCAGGATCCCAGGACCATGGGATCATGACCTGAGCCAAAGGCAGATGCTCAACCACTGAGCCACCCAGGCACCCCTGTCTTATGTTTTCAAAGAGGAGTCTATCAATCTCTGCTTTATTCTTCTTACATTTATTGTCAATGTTCTGAAAATAATCACCAAGGAAACACAAACGTTGAATAAATGAATAAGTAAATAGAGAGGAAGAGACAATGCTTCCTTAGTGGTAGGACTCCATGACTAAAGGTAGGAGGTGGTGGGGATCCCTGGGTGGCGCAGCGGTTTGGCGCCTGCCTTTGGCCCAGGGCGCGATCCTGGAGACCCGGGATCGAATCCCACATCGGGCTCCCGGTGCATGGAGCCTGCTACTCCCTCTGCCTATGTCTCTGTGCCTCTCTCTCTCTCTCTCTCTCTCTCTCTCTCTCTCTCTGACTATCATAAATAAATAGAAATTAAAAAAAATTAAAAAATAATAATAAAGGTAGGAGGTGGTGTAATTAGAACATCGCCATTTGGCAGACGTCACAGTTATAAGTTTTGCAGGTGAGAATCATCAATGGATGCTCAGGTGGTGGCCAAAGGTGTCATGATGAGTGGGTTCCTTGCTTAGACTTCAAGTAGCTCCCCCACGAGACACCTGTTAGCTACACAGCAAAGAATAGTAACTTGGCAGTGGAGAAACCAGGGAGAATGTTCCTTAACCAAGTGAAAAATATGGGCAGTATCATCGCAAGGCCCACTTGCGATATTCCCTTTATTATTCTCCAATATAGCAATATTGTTTACCTCTTGATTTGATGTGCTAAGAAGAGCACACCATTTCTATGGCTTTCTGGTAAAAAAAAAATACCTTAGCTCACCCTCCCCAGGGTGCCTGGGTAACGCAGTCGGTTAAGCATCTGACTCTTGATTTCAGCTTAAGTCATGATCTCCTGGGTAATGGGATTGAGCCTTGCATTGTCAGGCTCCCCAGTGCTTGTCCCTCTCCCCCTCTGCCCCTACTCCGTGCAAGTGCGGGCTTGCTCTCTGTCTTTCTCTCTCTCTCAAATAAACAAATAAATCTTTTTTTTTAAAAAAAGTCCTTTATCTCCTCTCTCTGTGTCTCTCATGAATAAATAAATAAAATCCTTAAAAACAACAACAAAAGTCCTTTATCTCAACCTAACCATAAGAAAACATCAGACTTAAAAAAAAAAAAAAGAAAACATCAGACTAAATCAAATTGAGGGACATTCTACAAAATCTTCCAACAGTGTAACAGTCAGGAAATAGAAGACTGAGGGACTGTCACAGATTGTCACACAACAGGTAAGGGCAGTGAGGGATTTTGGACTGGATCCTGGCCCAACAAAAAGGACATTAGTGGGGCAATTGCTAACATTTGAATGAAGTCTATAGGTTCATCTATAGTACTGCATCTATATTAATTTCCTGATTTCAATAATCATGTTCCTATGTTCTATACTAATATTTAGGGAAACTGG